TATCTAATTTTTTTTTTTTTTTTGATTCTGCGAAGGTGTTTCTCAGTTGATGACTGCATTCTTGGAGCTTTACTCTGGCACTAATCTAGTACCTCATTTCCAAAATGAATAAATGTTCAATCAAAAGTGATGATTTAAGTTCTTGGCTTTGATTGTTGTAGACTAAAATAAATTTGTTATTGGAAGACCACACTCTAATCTTAAGTGAAAATATTTCTGGAATATTTAACACATGTTAATAAAAACAATATCACTGTCATTGGCTTAAGTTATCTGAAAAATTTTCAGAAAGAAAAAAGGAGTGAGATAAGCGGTGAATAAGTTTTAATTGTCATTTTTCTATTACTGTTTAGGATCTTTGGAAAGTAATGAATCATTACAGTCTGAAATAATGTAGAACACAGTTTTAGGATATAAGAGAAAATTTAGTTTGCCTCCCAAATAAGAATCGAAATGACTTCAGGAAAAACTTTGTCCACTTCAAGACTATTGCATATGTATCATTTGTTTTAGTTGTAACTGATATATTTTGAATTTATTGAATTATGAATATAAATTTCATATGCATTTCTAATTTACAATTTTATGCATTTTTAACTACTTCCTTGACTCTTATGAATTCTAGCTTGAATATTAGAATTACCTAATGAGTACAATGTCATGTTATAGTATAAGTATACACTATTGTAAGTAGATAAACATATATAAGTAGTGGGTAAAGGGACAGCACATAGCTTCTCTTGGTGGCAGCTTTAAAAAATAAAAGGGCCTCCAGTTTAGTGGGATTTCACATTGCTGAAGACATTATTGGGAAGAATTCAGAGATGAGAAGGATGATAAGGCAATAATAGCAGAAAAATTGGTGGTTTTTCTTTTTCTCTTTTTTGCTTCATTTCTTTTCTTATTTAAAAACATAGTATCAGTTTAGATTCTCTTGGTTGCAATAGACCAAACCAAAACAAACAGAAGCTAAGCAATCACACTGCTCGGGCAGACACAAACTCCGCAGAAGCGGCGCTGACCCAGCCCTGGGTGGCGCAGAGGGTTCCACGCGCCGGCCTGCCTCGCGCCCGCGACCCGCCGGACCTCCCCCCCGCGTCCCTCCCCCCCCCCGCCGTCCCTCCGCCCCGCGTGGCGGACCTGGGCGGTGGCGCGTTTCCCCCCCCTCGTGAGCAAAACTCCTCTGCCAGACTCGACTGCCCTGCCCAGGGGAGGGGGTGGATTTCTTCTGACGGCTCACGAGGAAGACAGATGCAACTTCTTTAATGTATGAGAAGTCCTGCAACGTCCCCGGTGTCTCACCGGCCGTGCCCTTGAGGCCGGCTCGAACCGGCAAGTAGGAAACAGGCCGGCGCACTGCAGTCGGCTCGCGTCCGCGGGCGGGGCAGGCGGGGCAGGCACGGCACGGCGGCGCCTGGCGGGCGGCGCGCGCGGGGGATGGGCACGCTGGGCGCTCTGCCCGGGCAGGCCCGAGCCTGTGTACCCCTGACATGCCGGGGAAGAAAAAGAAAGCAGCCGGGAGGCCGGCGCCAGGGGCGTCTCTGCGGCCCTGCTGGGCGGGCGCTGACGCGTGCGCTGTGCTCTGTAAGAACCTAGATGCGGTGCTTACTGGGAACACATCCTAACTCTTTTTTGGTGAAACTGAATCAACCCAGGCACTTTGAAAGGATTTCATGGGCATGTATCTCCAATTTATTATTGGACTGAAACATGGCTTTACAGAATTAAATTAGATATCAAACTTGCTGGAGTATTAATTTGATTTTAAACTTACGCTTTTTCCTTTAATAGGATCATCTTCATTTTAAAATGTTTAAAATATGTTAGTGGTTTGAAAAATTATGATTAATGAATATGATAATAAAAACAATAATATAATTCAGTAGTCCCAAATGCTTAATTTTACTTATAGATACCATGTCACATCTTGGAAGAAATCCCTAATCTTTCATGAAGGAATAAATTATATTGCTAAATATAATTTGCTAAATATTGCTTTTAAATAAAGAAAACGTTTATTTGCCTTCATAGAGACACATACAATTGTCGTGTTTGCTGATAAAATTGTATGGCTTTGTACATTCATCATAAAATTTTTGAAAGGATGAAAAATGTGTGCATAAATTATTAGCATCCTAATCTTTTTATATTTCCCCTTAAATTTTAATTCAAAGTTTGTAAACATGCAGAAAAGTAAACACCTATAAAACCACTACTGAATCAAAATTATTTAGAAATTCTCACATTTACTTCTTATATTTTTACATATAATATATTTTTACTGAACCATATGAAAATAAGTTGCTGATATTGTGACAAACCACCCTTCATTACTAAAAAATTATTAACTTGGGTTCCTGTTACATGACATAGCATGTCTATCTTTCAACAAAAAATTGCAAGGCATATTACATAGCAAGAAAAATGACAGTCTGAGGAGATAAAGCAGGTATCAGAACTAAACTCAGATTGTGCAGAGATTTTGGAATTATCATGCAGGAATTTGAAACAGCTATAATCAATATGATGAGGGGTGTAATGGGAAAAGTGAACAACATGCCAGAACAGGTAGATATGTAAGCAGAGAAATTGAAACTCTAAAAAAGAATCAAAAGTGAATGCCATAAATAAAAAACAATGTAACAGAAATAAAGAATACCTTTGATGGGCTCACCAGTTAACTGGATATGGCTGAGGAAAGAATCTGTGATCTTGACAATGTATCAACAGAAACCTCCTAAACTGAAATGCAAATGGCACAAAATACCCAAGAATTATAGAATAATAACAAGAGGCCTTATGTGCATGTAATAAAAAATATCAGAAGGAGAAGAAAAGGAGAAAGAAGCAGAACAAACATTTGAAGTAATAATAGCTGAGAATTTTCTAAAAATGATGATAGACAGGAAACACAGATCCAGAAAGTTCAGAGAACACCAAGTAGGATAAATACCAAACAGCCTACATGCAGAAATATCATACTCAAATTGCAGAAAGCCAAGGAAAAGAAATAAATCTTAAAAGCCAGAGGTAAAATACTCCTTACCTATGTATAAAGAAATGGTGCAAATACACTGGACTTCTCAGAAAGCATGTGATCAAGAAGAGTGAAGCATTTAAAATGTTAAAAGAAAAAAACCCCACCAGTCTAGAATTCTATGTTCAGAAGGATTATCCTTCAAAAAGGAAGAAAAAGTAATGACTTTCTCATACAAGCAAAAATTGAGGGAATTTGTCACTTGCAAGAAATGTTCAAACAGTCCTTCAGAGAGAAGGGAAATGATATAGGTCATAAGCTCAGATTTACATATAGAGATGTAGAGCATTAGAGGATTACATGAAAGTAAAATATGAGCTTTTGTTTTTATTACTCTTAATTGACACAACACATAAAAGTTTGTTCAAAATAATAGTAGATACAATAAATTTGGTAGCTATAGACAAGTAAAACAGCTGAAAGCATTGTTGGAAGGGATAGAAAGGGGGGATTGGAAATACAGCTGGCCCTTTGTGTCCCCAGGGCTTGCATTTGTGAATTCAACACATCACACATCAAAAACAGTTGGAAAAATAGTTGCATCTTTACTAAACAAGTACATTTTTATCATCATTATTCTCTGAAATACAGTATAACAACTATTTATGTAGCGTTGACACTGTGTTAGATATTATAAATAACCTAGAGGCGATTTAAAGCATACAGGAAATGTGCATAGGATACATGCAATTACTGTGCCACATTATGTCAAGGCCTTGAGCACCCACAGATTTTGGTATCCTCAGGAGATCCTGGAACAATGTGCCATGGATACTGGGGGATGACTGTAATCTGTTATGACGTACCAGGACTACCCATGAAATGGTACGGTGTTACTTGAAAGTAAACCTAGATTAGTTGTGAATGTATACTGCAAGCCCTAGGCCAACCACTAATAAAATTTTTAAAAGAAGGATAATTTCTATGCTAAAAAAGAAGAGAAAACCAAATCTTGTGAAATGTTCAATTAAACTCAGAGAAGGCAGAAAAAAAGGAAGATAAAAAAGATGAATAGTAAGTACAATGAATAGAAAACAATTTCAAATATAGTAGATATCAATCCAGTCATATTAATAAATATTTATATGTGAATGGTTTAGATATACTAATGAAAAGATAGAGATTGACAAAGTGGATTAAAAAAAGAAAAGAGCCAACTATATGTTGTCTAAAACAAACCCACTTTAAATATAAAATACAGGTAGATTAAAAGGATGGAGAAACATGTATCATGCTAACATAAATGTAAAGAAAACTGGAGTAGCTGTATTAATTTCAAATAAAGAAGACTTCAGAACACAAAAAGTTACTAGGGTTAAAAAGAAGCATTACATCATGATAAAGGGGTCCATTCTCCAAGAAAACATAGCAATCCTTAATTTGTGTGCACCTAACAGTAGAGCATCAAAATACGTGAGACAAAAGCTGACAGAACTGCAGAAGAAATACGTGAGTTCACCATTACACTTTAAGACTTCAACAGGACTCTATCAATAATTGACAGATCCTGCAGACAGAAAACTAGTAAGGATATAGTTGAACTGAACAGCACCATCAATAACTCGATGTAATTGACATTTACAGAATTCTCCACCCAACAACAGCAGAATACACATTCTTCTCAAACTCACATAAAACATTCACCAAGGTAGGCCATATTATAGGCTATAACACATGTCAACAAATTTGAAAGAATACAAAGGATACAAAGTAGGTTCTTAAACCACAGTGGAATTGTACTAAAAGTCAATAACTGAAAGATAGCTACAAAATCCCAAAATATTTGTAGATTAAACAACATACTTACAAATAGCACATAGATCAAAGAAGTACCAAGAGAAATTAAAAAATATTTGGAACTGAATAAAAATAAAAATACAGCTTAAAATTTGTGGGATGCTTTGAAAGCAATTCTTAGAGGGATATTTATAGTGTTGGATGCATGTGCTAGAAAAGAAGAAAGATATATAATCAATAATGTAGGCTTCTGATTTTAGGACACAAGAGAAAAAAGAGCAATATAAACCTAAACAAGTCGGAGAAAGGAATAATAAAAAATAGAGCAGAAATCAGTGAAAGTGAAAATAGGAAATAATATAGAAATTTGACAAAAGAAAAACTGGTTCTTTGACAGGATTAATAAAGTTGATATACTTCCAACCAGGCTGGTAAAGTAGAGAAAAACAGACAGAAATGAGAGAAAACACAAATTACTAATATTACAAATAAAATGTGGCCATCCTTAGTGAACTATACACATTAAAAGAACAATAAAAGAATATTATTAACAGCTGTAAGCCAACAAATTGATAACTTAGATGAAATGGACCAATTTCTTGAAAGATACAATCTACCAAACTCATAAAAGAAGAAATAGATAATCTGAATAGATTTATATCTGTTAAACAAATTGAATCAATAATTGATAACCTTCCTAACAAAAAGCACCAGACCCAGATGATTTCACTGGTGAATTTTACCAAATGTTTTTTTAAAAGATATTAATTCTCTATAGTTTCTAATTTCCAGAAAAATAGAAGTAGAGGAAATACTTCCTAATTTATTCTGAGGCCAACATTATCCTAATACCAAAGCCAAACAAAGATATTACAGGAAATGACAACTATGGACCAATATCTCTCATGAATATGAATGCAAGAATCTGAAAAAATAATAGCTAATCAAATCCAACAAAGTATAAAAAGAATTATGCACCCCAACCAAGTGGCATTTATCCCAGGTATGCAAGGGTGGTTTGACATCTGAAAGAAAATCAATTAAGGTAACCATCACATCACCAGGCTAAAGAAGAAAAGCCATGTGATTATAGCAGTAGCTGCATAAAAAGCATTTGATAAAATCTAACACTCATTTATGATTTAAAAAAAGAAACTGAGCAGGGAATCTATTTCTTCCTGGTTGAGCCTAGGGAGGCTGTGTGTTTCTAGAAATTTGTCCAATTCCTCCACATTTTCCAGTTTGTGTGCATAAAGATTTTTGTAGTATTCATAAATTATATCTTGTATCTCTTTGGGATCAGTTGTGATATCTCCTTTTTTGTTCCTGATGGAGCTTATTAGAGATTTCTCTTTTCTGCTTTTCGTTTTCTTATCAAGTTTTTAAAATTCCCCTCTTTTCTAGTTCTCAAAGTTTCTTTTTTTTAAGGTCATAAATGAGTGTAGATTTTATCCAAATGCTTTTTTATTGCATCTTAACTGCTATAATCACATGAACTTTTCTTTCCTTACCTGTGAATGTGATGGGTTTACTTAAATTGATTTCCTTTTTTCAAATCCGAAACCGCCCTTGCATACCTGGGAATGCCACCTTGGTTTGGGTGCGTAATTTTTTTTATACTTGTGATTTGAAAATTAGCCTTTTATTATTTTTTTCCAGAATTCTTGCATTCAATATTTTCATGAGAAGATTATGGGTTCCATAAGTTTGTCCCATTTTTCCTGTAATAATCTTTGTTTGGCTTTGGGTATTAAGGAATAATGTTTTTGGGGCCTCCAGAAAAATAAATTTAGGAAAAGTATTTCTCTACTTCTTATTTTCTGAAATAGAAACTATTAAGAGAATTAAATATTTTTTAAAAAAAACGTTTTGGTAAAATCACCAAAGTGAAATTCAATCTTTGGTCCTTGGTGCTTTTGTTTAGAAAGTTAATCAATTATGATCAAATTTGTTTAACAGAATTTAAATCTATTCAAGATTTATTCTATTCTTCTTTTTATGAGTTTTGGTTTAGATTTTGTTCTTCAAAGAAATGGTCCATTTTCATCTAGTATCAATTTGTTGGCTACAAAGCTTGTATAATAAATTATTTTTATTGTTTCTTTTTAAATGTTGGTATAGTTACTTAAGGATGCCCATTTATTGTATAAGTAATTTTTGTTGTTTTTATTCTCTCCATTTCTGTCTGTTTTTTTTTTCTCCTACCTTAACCAGCCCTGGTGGAATAAAATTCACTTTAATATCTGTCCAAAGAACCAGTTTTTTTCTTTTTTGTCAAATTTCAATTTGGTTTTTTCTATTTTCAAATTTCACGAAATCCTGCCTCTTTTTTATTATTACCTTTCTCCACTTGTGTGTAGTATGTTCTTTATCAAGTTGAGAAATTCTCCTCTTTTCCTAGTTTGCTCAGTTCTTTTTTTTAATTTTTATTTTGGCATATTATGGGTACAGATTTAATTCAATAAATGCCCATTTTCCCCTCCCCCAAAAAATCTGAGTTCCATCATGACCATCCCCCAGTGGTGCACATCTCATCATTGTGTATGTATCATAACCGCCCCCGTCCCCCTCCACCTCCCCAAATACCTGATTACTGTAGCACCTATGTGTCCACTTAGGTGGCTACTCATACTACCAGTTGTCGAGAATATATTGGTGCTTGTTTTTCATTCTTGGATTACTTTCACTAGTAGTATGGGTTCCAGCTCTAACAGGAAAGTTAAGATGTGCTATATCACCATTGTTTCTTAGAGCTGATAGTACTCCATGGTATACATATACCACATTTTATTATCCATTCTTGGATTGATGGGGCACTTGGGGCTGGTTTCCACACCTTGAATTATAATGTGGCTGCTATAACATTCGAGTGCAGGGTTCTTTTTTGTAGAGTGTCACTGGATATTTGGTAGATGCCCAGCAATGGATTGCTGATCAAATGGTAGATTCACTTGTATCGCTTTAAGGTATTCCATATTGCTTTCCACAGAGTTGAACTAGTTTGCGTCCCACCACAGTGTAGGAGTGTTCCTCTCTCTCCGACCACGCAGCATTTATTGTTTGGGGATTTTTTGATAAAGGCCATTCTCACTGGGGTAAGGTGTACTCTCATTGGTGGTTTTGATTGCTTCCCTGATGATTAGAGATTTGACATATTTTCATATGTTTGTGCCTTCTTCTGTCTTCTTAAAAAATTTCTGTTCAGTCCTTTGCCATTTTAGTGGGTTATTTGATTTTTTCTTCCCTAAGTTTTCGGTGAGTTCTAAGTATCATTCGTAGTTATCAGTCACTTATCGATGCATTAGATGCAAAAATTTTCTCCATATCTTCCC